TATCACAAGTAAAGAGGTTATGACAACTGATAAACAAATTGCTGGCATGACGACAGAATTTTTCAGTGTTTTTGATGACAAGCCAGGACGGGTGAATGATATAGAAGTTAGCATACATCTGAGTGAGGCAGCAAGGCTGAAATCATGGCCAGCTCGTAGAGTACCTTTTCCATTACGAAAACCAATTGAAATGGAACTCGATAGATTGGTTAAATCGGGAATATTGAAGGAGATTGACCCAACAAAAAAAACGTTTGACATGGGCTACTCCAACAGTAAACGTACGCAAAACAAATGGAGAAATCAGGATTTGTGCGGATTTTAAGGTGACATTAAACCCATATATTTTATACGATTATCATATTATACCAACGGTGGATGATCTTTTAAAATTAAAAGATGGGTTGAAATTTACGGTAATAGATTTGAAAGATGCATATTTACAATTATCAATAAAAGAGAGTTCAAAAGAATACTTAACCATATCAACCCACATTAGTTATTTCCAATATCAATGTATGCCTTTCGGTTTTTCTAGTGCGCCGACCATTTTCCAAAGATATATGGATAATATATTACAAGACTGCCAAATGACTGGAGTATATCTTGACGATATTATCATAACGGAGAAAAATGATGTAGAACATTTGAATAACGTAAAAGAAGTTTTAATTAAATTAAAATAGGTGGGTATGAAGGCAAAATGGGCCAAAATACGCTTTTTAAATCAATCAGTTTCTTTTCTAGGTATTGTAATAGACAAAAATGGAATACACCCAGCGAAAGAAAAAATAGATGCTATTCGAAGGATACCAACTCCTAATAATATACACCAATACGATCTTTTTTAGGACTTGTGAATTATCACGAGAGATTTTTGCCACATCTGCATGGAATTGCCGCTCCACTGCATAAATTAACAAGCGTTAAATGTTGCTGGGGTTGGTCGGACAGGGAACAAGAGGTATTTGATAAAATAAAACAGCTTTTGTCAACAAATAAAACGCTAATTCCATATTCGCCAAACTTGCCAACTATATTGGAATGTGACCCTCCAACACTGGTTTCGGAGCTGTGTTGTGTCATTTAGTAAAAAAAGATATTAGCAGACCAATCGCATTTGCCTCACGAACATTATTTGAGTCAGAGAAAAAATATGCATCAATAGAAAAAGAGACAAATGGAAAAATTTCATACTTTCATTTTTGGTCGAAAATTTATATTGCGAACAGATCACAAACCTTTGGAAAAATTGTTTGGTGATAAACGGGAACTACAAAAATATCCTCCAATAGTCGATTAACGCGCTGGGCTTGGAAAATGTCCGCATATGATTTTGATATTGAATATGTTCCAGGAAAAGAAAATAAAGTAGCTGATACTTAATCTAGACTGCCAGTAGAAGGCATAGAATCAAATAACGATCAAAAAAATGCGTTAAAAATCAGAAAATTTGCACGATATAAATATTAGTCAAGTTAGTTAAACATTGAGCATGGATGGGTGGATTTTGATGCGAAAAAAGATACAGAGTTAGTTTGTTTTTATAATCGTAGAGAGGAATTGTCTGTAGATCATGATGTTATTGAATGGAATGGGAAGTTGGTAATTCCAACCGTTTTGAGGAAATCAGAATTAACGATTATACACAGAGGGCATCCAGGAATAAATGCTATGAAATCAATTTTTAGAATGTATTGTTGGTGGCCTAATTGCGATAAAGATATTGAACAATATATTAGTCAATGTATGTCATGTCAAAGTAACCTGTCGAATATTATGGAGGTTCATTTATATTCGTGGAACATATCTAATATACCATGGGAACGAATTCATTTGGATTTCGCGGGGCCTATTGATTCGTATTCATGGTTAGTTGGAGTAGATGCACATACTAAATGGGTTGAGGTTGAGTTAATGAGAAAGACCACGTCTACGAAAATGATAAGGGCTTTAAGGAAATGTTTCGCACGGTTTGGAACACCTAGACAAATTGTATCAAATAATGGACCTCAATTTCTTTCTGGAGAATTTCGAAAATTTTGTTTCAAGAAAAATTTTAAATTGATACATACAACACTGTACCATCCAAAAACGAACGGTTTAGAGGAAAGAACGATACGAACCCTCAAGAGTCGATGTTTTGCAACTAGGAATCAGGGAGCCTGAGGAAGCCATGGGAGAAGTTTTGATAGCATATAGAATGGGTTAACATCAATCAACTGGACGTTCACCGGCAAAGTTATTATTGGGGCGAAATTTAAAAACGGGATTAAATTGGTTACGTCCAAATTAGGGATGAAATGTAACAATCAAATATACGACAAAAAGCAGAGCATGATGATCATAGTCAAATGAGGGAATTTTAGATTGCACAACCGGTATGGGTGCATAATGAAATAAATTCAGGTTGGAGAGAAGGAGTTAATAAATCCAGAACTGGTATATTCTTATTTGGTAGAAAGCAAGGATAGAATGGTACGAAAGCATGCGGATCAACTTCTAAAAGGGAGGTAGCTAAAGAAATGGAGACTCGGCCAGGGGAAAAAAAAGAAGAAAATATGGAGTCAGAGAGAGAAGAAGAAAATGGAGAAAATATGGAGTCAGAGAGAGAAGAAGAAAATATAAAAAATAGAGAGTTGGATATAGTTGAGATTTTAGAAAATGTGGAAGATAATGGAAAACTAGAAACGCGGAAATCACAAAGAGCTAGAAAACCTACAAATAGGCTGATTGAGGAGTTGTGTGTGGGGATATGTTATAAATGAGATTTATTATTTATATTATTAATGTTATAAATGTCATATACATATCAATCATGCATGTATATACCAGTTGTAAATATAGACCATTATGTCATGTGATATTTAGATACTAATAAAGGAATTGTATATTTGTATAATGAGGGTAAGCCTATACATCACATTTTTAGTTGGCTGCAATTTTTTGATAATATTAATAAATGCAGTGTTTCTATAATTGAAAATGTTTGTAATTTTTCAATTACAAAATTAAAAACTAATTCATCAACAGCTGATTGCTAATGATATCTTTGATGTAGATAGATTCTGCATCTCAAATGGGAGTTGTTTGGCTTCAATTTTTTAAATACTATTCAAATGTTCATTAATCTCTTACATTTTTGAGGAATGTATAGTGTATTATTTTTTAATTCCTGAATTTTTTTAAAAAAATAACTAGCTTATTCAATAATTGAAGATAAATCTTTTAAAAATTTAATTGCATTTTTAATTCCTCGCTAAGCTTATTGTGAAATATATCGAAAAAATTTTCTAAATTATAAATTCTTTTACCCTCGTTTTCAAAACTATTCATTAGACGGGACTGCATGATGCTTTCTAGATAAATTATAAATGAGTCTGTTTTTAATCTTACTAGTTATGATTTTATTTTATAGTATATTTTTAAATAAAAGTGGAAAATATGAATCGAGCCACATCTGTAAATATCTATCAACATAGAGCGGATACTTGAGAGATGGGAGTAGAAGCTAATTGCCTCCAATTTTTTAAGTAAAAATTAACATATTGTAGATTAAACATTAATTGATAAATAAAAATTAAATTGATGAATAAATATTTATTTCTCATTCATTTACAGATAACTTCTTTGTACAGTTTGAAGTTTTACATGCTCGTGGCTAATATTTAAAATTCTGTAAGTAAAAACTAGTCGATTAGCACTAACTATGGATGATTTGTTATTCCTAGACTAAATAGTAAAGAGCCTTGAAAGAGTTTAATAAATAGATTTGAGGTTTTAAAGGTGGCTAATTATAAAATTTTTGTTAAATATTACGAAATTGTTAGAGCATGATGTGTGAGTAAATGTTGAGCCGAAGGCCGCAAATATATTTCAAGGAGGTAGGGGTATATTTAGGAGGGGGTTTGATTCTAACGAATTTTCGGGTATTTAGATGTTACCTACATAATATTTTATCATTGTCAACATGTTCTTAATGACTTTTTAAATCAGTCAATCAAATATGGTGACACTTAATGATAAAAAATTGACCCAATTTATTATTTCTTACAAAGTAAATTGAATTATTGTAACAGGTTACAACTAACAACCTACCTATTTGAGAATCCTAAAAGATTTAATCAAAATTAGACACTTTCTTGCCTGTAGTGTTGCTAACAAAAAAATTCGCTAACCTTTAAGGTAAGTGTATATTTTTTCAAAATTGAGTTATCCTTTACCTCGACCAAAGCTAAGATGATAGAATTAAAACTTTTTAAAAATGGAGATATTGTAATATATGAATGATTGAATATTAATCACGCACAATATTAGATTAAATATATTGATTGACATTAACATTTTTCAATAAAACGTCAATCACGACAGAGATATTTATCACCCCTACTTTCCAAGGGTAAACCTAATTCTATGCCTTAAATTGGTTTGTTAAAAACGACACGATTATGATTTAAGCCAAAATAATATTATGTGTGTGATAATGGAAATTTGGTTTATAGATTGTAGATAGGGTATAACCTCCAAATCTTGAGACTTTAATTAAATCTCAATAAAACTTTTATAAAATAGACCTAAATTGGGCCGTTTAACAATAAAATTTTAAATAATACATCAGCGAACAACTTATAAAAATTCCAATAAAATGATGAAGATAAAAAATATTGAAAAATAAAATTTTTTGCTTCAATATCTTCTTGTATGAAAAAGATCTTTTTTATAAAATTTTTATTATAACAAAAATTAAGAAAAAAGGGACTCAAATTTACATTTGCAAAAATATTGAAATATCTTTGCCGAGAAAGCGGACCCTCCTGTATCCCCCCTCGCAAAACATTCATGGCTGTTACCTGGGACCTAAAAAATTTATAAACTTATAATCAGACTAAACTTCTTTGATGTGTTTTTTATTAAAAAACCTTGTAGGTTATACGTGAGTGAACTATCAATAATCTAAAACTATAATATATATATTTTAGACTGCTGACAGGGTATCATTTCCATTCAATCTTTTGAATATTTCAAATAAAATCAATATTTATGCTGAATGCGTTGACAAAATTTTATTTCAATTTAAAATAAGTCTCAAAAACATGAGAGATCAAAAATTATCTCCAAAATGGTATTTTGGAGGTTTAGCCAGTGCTGGAGCTGCCGTATGTACTCACCCACTGGATTTAATTAAGGTTTCCTTATTTGTTATATATAAAATTTTTTTTTTGAATTAGGTTCATTTACAAACTCAGGAGCATGGCCATATCAGAATTCTACCTTTCACCTTAGATATAATTAAAAAACAAGGAATTTTTTCTCTCTATAATGGTTTATCTGCATCCATTTTAAGACAAGTTATTATTTTTTTTAGAACATTTGTTTTGACAAATAATAGGAAATTCATAAATATTGAGATTCAGTGGTAGAAGTCTATCTTACTCTACCTCTCATTTAAGAAAAAATACTTATGCAATGGTTTTAGTTTTTTAGGCCCATCTTCCTAGTTATTTAAAAATTTTGCTTAGTCTATGTACACACCTATTTTTAAAAATTATTTATATGGTTGTTTAGTCTCTTTGTATATATTGTTTTAATATATATATACTTAAGCTTATATAATATTATGTCATAAAAAATTAATTTTTAATAAATAAAACATTTTTTGTTCATTCCACCTATAAAATATTTTTCAAACTACCGCCCACCTATCCAATGTTGAATTATTTTTTAACCCACCCATATCTAGTGAAGGTCATTGTCCTAATTGATATACATGGACCAAATTGGACCATGTTCCTCAAACAAAAGACCAATGTGGACCATGGTCCTAATATTTAAATGGACAAGTATATTTAACTTTTAACAATAATAAATAAATAACTTTGTTACAAATATGTAACATGCATCACTTTCAAGAAAAAAAAATAAGTATCAAAACGATGTATAAACAATATTGAAATTCTATGTATTATAGAATTAATTAAATCAAAATTTTATGAAAAAGTAATATAGGGAAGGAACTTGCTTGGCATGAGAGAGATTGGAAGGAATAATAAAAGTGACATAATGTATAGGATCAGACTTTTAATGTTTTTATTTTAAAAATATTTTTGTTTTTCCCTAATTTAATTCTTATTTTATTAAATATAAAAGTATTTTATGTTAATATTAAATCAAATATGGATAATAAAATGTTTAATTTAAAAGTAATATTTTTTATGACAAACTTTTTATTTTCATAGTATGTTGCAAAGTATATATGAAAATTGTATCAAAACTAAATTATTTCTAGATAAATATGTAAAAAAATATTTTAAAAATTATTTGAATTTGATTACTAATAAACTTAATATTAATAGGCTTATGGGAAAAGACTGGTCCATCAATTGGTTTAGTCCAATCATGGTCTAAGACTGACTGGGCTGGATCATTTATCTTCATTACTCATATCAGATATAGGATATTTAAGATGTGCCACATATTTTTATCATGCAAATTTTTTCATTTATAAATGGCATCTATCTTAGAGATGCATGATAAATGGTATATTTAGAATTAGGTCAAAGCAATAAATGCCCCTTCTGAATAACTATATGATACGTGATATTAAACACCTAGTCCTATGCCTTTTATACATAATGAAGTTATATACAACAGCAATGCTTAATTCTATTAAAGGAAATAATTAGAAGAAAGACCATTCATGTCTCTTTGGAAGGCCACTGTTATATGTATTGACAAGTAGGGAAGATCTTGCCCTGAGAATTGTTATGGACTCGCTAGTAGTCAGTGGTAGTATTTAAGAATGTCTTGTCATCAATAGTATGATAATAATAAGTCGATTGTCGTCAGTAGTGCTGTTAAACGGCTAATTCAATATTTTAGCCAGAAAAATATTGCATAAGCCTCGAGATTTCGATAATATATGACTAGACCTTTGTTCCTTCTATGATCAAAATCTTCAGGCTTCATAATATTTTTTTGGATGAAATATTGAGTTAGCCGTTTTTAAAAATCGGCTCAAAACGAGCCATTTAACAACTCTAGTCGTCGGTAATAGTATTTTATTAATATGTAACTTTTCTTTATTATCCAATAGGTATATATATTTGTTTGGTAAATTAATCTATATATATCACAAATAACGTTTTTTACGTTCAATTTACATAATATCAAAGTTTAATTTAGTGTTGTTAAACGGCTCGTTTTGAGCCGATTTTTTAAAACGGCTAACTCAATATTTTAGCCAGAAAAACATTGTTTACTCAAGATATTGTCAATATAAGACCTTTGTTCCTTCTATGAGCAAAATCTTTGGACTTGCATTGTATTTTTCTGGATGAAATATTGAGTTAGCCGTTTTTAAAAATCGGCTCAAAACGAACCGTTTAACAACACTAGTTTAATTTAATATATCACATGATCGCCTTAAACCACATTATTTAAATGGACAAGTATATTAACTTTTAACACAATAATAAATAAATAACTTTGTTACGAAAATGTAACATGCATCACTTCCAAAAAAAAATTTTTTTTTATCAAAACGATGTATTAACAATAATGAATGTAGATTTAAATTAAAAATTTATGAAAAAGTAATATAGGGATGGAACTCGCTTGCCATGAGAGAGATATCTTAAGGAAGGAATAATAAAAGGGACATAATGTATAATATTTTTGTATACAATCAATAATTACATTAAGTAGGGGTAATTTTGATAACAATGAAAATAATCATAAAAACTGGGTAAAGTAGGGAATAAAATATAATAACAAGAATTTATCATATGTATTACGGGGTATGTATGACACCAATGTTATATAAAATTGAGAAGAAAAAATCTGGGAGAAATAGTTAAATAACAACAATTAGTATACAAACAAATCAAATAAATTGGGCGGGGAGTGGGGAGGGGTCAAACTATCAAACCAATATAACGTTTTATTTTTCCTAATTATACCCTTGACTTAGAAATTTATAAGAAAGGTATTATTTACACTATAATGGTGCTAATAGTTATCCATAATAGTTTTTTTAACGTAATTATACCCTTAACTTAGAAAGGTATAAATTGCACTATATATAGATTATGGGGAGGGGTCAACCTAACAATACAATATAGCCCTTCGTAGTTGTACCATTGACTTAGAAATATATAAGAAAGGTATAACTTACACTATATTAATTGGAATAATATAATAATAATAATTAATACTGGTTTTAATTTAATTATATTACCACAGGCCATTCATATATTATTTTAACATACTAATCATTGTTATTTAATATAAATGTTAAACAAAAAAAAATTAAGAGCCTTTAAAAATTGTTTTGATTATCAAAAAAAAATATGTTTACAAATTTTTTCTTATGTGAATATAAAATTTCCATATATCGAGTGACATCAATCTTTCTTAAAACAAGTGTTTCTTCTTTCAGTACCATACCAGGAGCGCGAAGGTCATATTCAGTCTCTCACCGCACCAGCTTCCAATAACCTGGTGCCCCTATCCTCCACCATATTGACAAGCGGGTAAGGTCTTGCCCTGAGAATTGTTAGGGACTCGCTAGTAGTCAGTAGTAGTATTTAAGAATGTCTTGTCGTCGGTAGTATGATAATAATAAGTCGATTGTCGTCGGTAATAGTATTTTATTAAAATGTAACTTTTCTTTATTATCCAAAAATATGTATACATTTGTTTGATATATATCACATAACGTTTTATATGTTCAATTTACATAATATCAAAGTTTAATTTAATATATCACACGGTCCCATTAAACCTTCATTATTTAAATGGACAAGTATATTAACTTTACACAATAAGAAATAAATAACTTTGTTACGAATATGTAACAACATGTACGCATAACAAGCCGAGTTTGCTTTTATGGGAAGTAAGAAGAATGAGAAAAGGATTAAATAAAAATTAGGGAGGTGTTTGGGTGGCTTAATTACTTTATAATAAACATTGATAATTATATACATGGTAGGAAAGATAAAACCAAATTAACTAATAATTATTTTTGTAAGTCTCTCTCACTATTGGAAACATGGGATATATACAAGATAAGGGCATGTTAATATATGGGTTAATGTTTAGGAAAATTATATTAAAATTATTAAACCTAATAAATTATTAGTTAATATTATTAATATGGCTTGTTAAAAAAACTCGATCAGATATTTACATTGATTATATATTATAAATATACATGGAAGATGTATTGATACAGGTGAGTATATTACGGTAGATATTCATGGTTAAAAGTTGTTTTCAGTCTAAGTTCTTGTATTAATGAAGAAAAATAATAACTACTTGATTTATTTTTAATTATTTTATTTTGAAGAGTAAGTTTAATGCGAATCTCAAGTGATTTATTTATCTAATCCTATGTACAGCATGCTGAACTATGCTGAATGTCATGTAAAATAGAAATTTTATATGAAATGAGCTAAAGTTTTTGAAATATTTGGTGTGGACTAGATAATCCAAAAAATCAAAATACCACATATATTGGAGGACAAGTGAAAGAGTTGGATACAATAATGGTACAAGGAAGGACTGACTAAGAAAGGGAAAATATATTAATGTAAAGAAATGTATCATTTAAAATATTTATTTAGGAATCATGAGGATTCAAAATTATTTAAATATAAAAGCTATTTAGGAATGCTACACGAAATAGATTTGTATTTTTTAATCATATTCAATAAAAAAAGCTCACCTATTCTACCACCCGTTTCGGCGTTTACGAGATATGCAAACAATTTTGGATCCAATCTCAAGTCGGTTCCAATAAGATACATTTGAATCAAAATTCAATCTCTAATAATGATAAAAATTACAATACTTTGAACGTGAAAAACGAACGAATACCCCCTCTAAATAAGGATGACTGCAAAATATTTGAGAAAAACATGCCCCTATATGTGAAATTAAGCTTAGCAGCCATAGCGGGGTTATGTGGTGGAGTCATAGGTAGCCCGGCCGATATGATTAATGTTAGGTAAATTACAACCCCCACCCCCAACAAACAAAAACCAACGTTGCAATACTCTTTTCATTCAAAAATAATTTTATATTTATAAAATTTTGACAGAATGCAAAACGACATCAAATTACCGCTTGATAAAAGGAGGAAGTAAGTTTTTATCAATCATAGATTTAAACATTAATACTGTAATTCTAATTCCCCTTTTCTAACTAATTTATTGCCTCCATTATTGTGAATGGAGAAAATAAAAGATATACTCGATATAAAAAATAAATTGCAATAATTTAAAATGTATAAAAAAATAATTGAATTTAAGATATGAAATATAAAACTCACTGAAATAAACGCATTATTTTAAAGTTACAAACATGCGTTAGATGGTTTAATTAAAGTAAACAACCAAGAAGGTTTTCTCAAACTTTATTCAGGAGTGACTATGGCAACTTCAAGAGGAATATTTATGACTATAGGACAAGTTACGAATTTAAAATAAACAATCAAAGGAATATGATAATATAAAAGAAAGGAAGGAAAGAAAAAGAGAGGGGAGAGGAAAAGAAAAAAGATATAAAATTACAAGAAATTTTTTTAAAGCTAGCCTTTTACGATCAAGTCAAACAATACCTGATTCAAAACTTAAAACTTTCGGACAACGTTCACACTCATATTATGTCCAGTGTCTCAGCCGTAAATTCCAATTCTTTATAAATAATTTATATAAATCGACTAAATTAGGAGGATAACTTAAAATTTATTATTTAAATTTTTTTTAGAGAATAGAAAACCAAAGAAAGAAAAAATGTTTATAAATTATTAGAAATTAAGGATTAGATAATATAAGATAAAAATTTGTTCAAATAAAATTTATCACTAGGAGTTTGAAGTTGTAATATTAATTCAGACTCATGTTTTAAAATTCTAGATAAATTGATGTTAAGCTGTGACCAAAATATCAAAATAACCTACGAAAAAAGGGAAATAAATTAATTTTAATGTAAAACTAAAATAGTAGCTTTTTCTCAAATTACGAAGGTTATTAATTTTTTAAATTTCGAGAAATTAATAAAATTTAATAAATTTTAGCTTAAAGTTGGGAAATATTTACTAATAAAAGTTAAGCAATTTTAATTTATATTTTTCAAATTATAATAAAAAATGGGGATTATTTAAATTAAATAGTCTCAACTCTAAAGTATAAAAATAATTTGGTAGGAATTATAAATTTTAAAATTAAAATATTTTAATGGAAGATTTTGGATGTTTCATAATTTTATAAAGTTACAAATTTGAAATTTTGAGGTTTTTTAAAATATCCTTAGGTCATACATAGCCTTAAATATTGAAAAGTAGAAGAATATAAACTTTTAAACTTTTAAAAATCATTTTATTCAGAAAAATTGCAATATATAGTAAACATTATTGAATTATGAATTTCAATTGCCTGAATTTTTTTCTAAATTGCAATGACAATTTTTAAATGAAAATTAGGGATAACAAAAATATTTGTATCCAATCTCCTAACACTAAAGTTTACATTAATTGATTGCCTCAAAAGCAAGATTGACATCTTTACTAATTATTTTATACAATTTATTATATTTTTTCCCTGATTAGAGTATGATAGCTGCCACTTTAACTCAACCCTTGGATGTGTTGAAAACTCGTTTAATGAACGCCAAACCTAACGAATATAAAGTTAAACTCTTTATTTATTCATTCATTCTTTTATTGGTCGTATGTTGTATCCAACTATTTTTTTTTAATTCTAACTTCAAAGATCAAACCGATATCAATTCACCAAATCGATTTTTTAAAGTCCGGGAAAACCTCTACTCCATTAAGTGTCATAATGGGGCCAGTTAATGGAGGTTACGTTCGTTAATATAGAACATTTTATAGTTATTTTAAATAGCAGAGCTAACGAGCTTAAGGGGGTTAGATAATAAAGAGAGACGATTATTATTATGAAAATAATTTAATATTATTATTAGAGTAGGGAATCTCGGACCAATGAGCCCTAAAATATTAAAGAAAATTAATTGGGGTCAGGTTTAATATTAATTTTTTTTACCCCATAAAACCTGGGTCGTGTCAGGCAATTTAAATTTTTTAAAAATCAATTAATCAGCTGGAAAATCATATAATGGAGCATTTAATATTCTTAAGAAACAATTTACAAATACGACCAAAATTATTTAAAATAGCGAAAAAAAATCCAAGACGGGCTTTAAAATGATCAAAAATAAAGCAAGGCTTGAAAATTATTATTTTTTTCAAATCCGGGCCTAGCCTAAAATTTGGACTTCTGTCGGTCTCTGATTATTATTAATTTTATAATTTTTTATAACGGTCCAAACCTAAAAAACTGGAAGCTATTTTATAAAAATTAATTTGATCTTTATCTATTCGGTTTGGGCGGGATCTTTGACCTTCATTAGCTCTCACCTATTATATTATATAAAATTCTTACAAAACAAAAATGTCATAAAAATTATTATTTTTTAACAATATAGACGATATTATTTTACAAATTTTACACAATATACTCCTATGATAATTTTCAAGTTTTGTATAAAATTCGTTTACACTTTTATCAAATTATGACAGGGTATTATGGATTGCACGTTACAACTATATAAATCTGGTGGTCCATTCGCATTTTATAAAGTTAGATTTAATATACTACATTTATAATATTTGTAGATTAATTATTATAGAGTTCTATCTCCACAATTTTTTTGATAATTTTACTCTACTTCTATAAATTAAAAAAAAAATTATTTATACGTTTATAATTATAAAATAAAAATAATATTAAAACCTCCCTTATATTTATAATTAAATTGACCATAAAAAAATATGGAATTGGAACATTATAATAAGGAGATCAAATTTGCAGCGTCAATTTTTTATAAATATTAATTTCCATTTTTAAAAAATGGGGGTCGAAACCTTTATGATATATAATTGAAGATATTTTCCAGATTTTTGTAATATGGAGACAGCTTAATTTCCCTGAGGAGTTAAGGGTTATATTTTTAATTTCTTTTATTGTTATACAAAAAATATAACTGAATGAACCTTTATAATTTTCCAAATTTTAATCGTAGCTTCTATATATTTTTTTATTAATTAAAATTTTAAATGAATTGTAACATTAATTTATAAAGGTTCGCTTCTCTGAAAGAAAAAAAGGAAATATTTATTAATTTATTCTTATTTTTTATATATTAAATATATATTTACAAAGGGTTACATTCCAGCTTTCTTAAGATTGGCGCCTCATACAGTCTTAACATTCGTTTTCTTAGAACAATTAACAAAATACTTTGGCCTCAAGAAAATTGTGTGAAAAATTCATTAGTTTTTTTAAAATAAACTTTTTTTGAAAGAGGTAAAGATGTTAACTGTTTGAAAATAGAATTAGAATGCTGATTAATTAAGACAACGCACTTTTTGGGTTAATTAATATACTAATATCAAATCGTGTAATATATATTTAACCAATAAACGAATATCATTTTGTAATATATTATAATATTAACATTTTAATAATGCTCAAATGTTTATAGAATATAGATCTGAAAAATTATCATATAATATAAGATTAATAATATTTTTTATAATTTATATTTTTAAATTATATTCAATCACTATCAATCAACATTGTTATACTATAGGTAAATAAAAGTTATTTTTGTATAATTTATAATGCATAGTACAGTTTAATAAAATAAATTTTATTTAATATATCAAACTGCTTATGCTCAATAAATCAATCCTATTTTTGAGAAAAATTCTGAAGTTAATTTAGGACTATGTTTTTAAAAAATATCAATCAACACTAGATTATTTTAATAAGAGGATGTATTTTTAGTATTTTTTTACTCGGGACCTCTGATTCACCAAGATAAATGAAGTCATCCTCATCACCGATCACCCTTCAACACATTTTTTTTAAAAATCTTTTTCTGTTGAATACTAAAAATTTCACTCATGCCCTTCACGTCCGATTTAATTGTGAAGTTACATTAGAGTTTAGTTTATTAGCATGACTATGTTAAGAAAAATGAAAATAATTATAAAACCGTTTTTTATTTGACCTTTCGCATATCCATAGCTTTAATATTTTTTAATATTTTCTCATTTGGTTATTAAATTTGTCTTTCGTTTGATTATAATGATTATTGACGCGTTATTTCGCTTATATTATTTATTTACTAGGTTGTAATTATCAATTTCCAGAGATATAAACAAATATAATTTAGAAATATAAAAAATAATTTTATTGTATTATTATTATATCATCATTAACACTGTAAGTCCGAATAACATAACTTAAAATCCATAATATAAAATCAGCAGCAGCATTTACCAAATTTCCGACTATATCATGACAAAAACATCAAACAAAAAATGATTTAAAAAAAGAAAAATTATGAAAATATGGATGTTGATAAAACATGGTAAAAATAATGATAATATAAAATAAAGAGGATATTAATAATACTGAAGGAAGTAATATATCGAAAGTTTTAAAAAGGATGCTACCTCCATTCGAACAGATCACAAATATTGATGATTAACTAGAAACTTCGAATTCGTAATGGAGGTCATACAAGTCCCAATTATAGCGAATATTTATAAGTCAATACTAGCTTATATTGGGATTACGGGCACGTTCGAGGAGATCGCTTCGATAAAACTGTTTAAGAAAAGTGATACATTAATCTAACATCTGGAACGTGTGTGAGCATACATTGTAGTTTTAAAGGGATTATAGAGTAAGAGATTATAAATCAATTCATAGCAGGGGTAAATCTTCCAAGATTGGTTAACGAATTAATAAGGTGACGGATGAAAAATATAGAAAACGGAAAAAGAACAATAGCAGCTAGCCCCTGAAATAAATAAAATTTCCGCAAATAAGAAAAAGTTGGCTACTACGAAAATACGAATGCCAATATTTTACCACAACGGAAATTGTAGGTAAGTAGGATAAAATGGTTTAGCTTTACTTATACAGGCCTTCGAACCGTTAAGTATAGCGGTTCGGTTCGTTTTGGCTTTTATTTAAAAATTTTATAAAGGTTTTGTTTCATTTCGATTTTTCGAAGAAATTCAATTGGTTTGGTTTAAGATTATAACGGTTCTTTTCGGTTCGTTCCGGTTTTTATAAATTTGATTTAAAAAAAAAGATATATATAATATTATTAATCGTAGAGAACAATCTTTTTACTTTATATTTTTATAATTTCTTATTTATTTTAACCATGAAGATTATTTCTAATCTAATTAACTAGTAATATGCATAATATTGAATATATAAAGTGTTGACAAGCGGGGGAATTAGCTTGTCTTGGACGTCGGAATTGATAGGAATTAGTAGGATATTTGAAGTCTGTTGAGGGGAATTACTTGGTATAATGTATATTAGGAGTATGAATTTAATTTAAATATAAGATTTTAAATGATTCTTTATTATGAAAAGTTAACTGATTGAATTTTATAATATATAATCTCTTTTTATATACAACGTAAATCAATTATGTAAAATTATATAACATAAAATCACGTTATCCAATTTACAACATATAATATATTATTACAATATAATATATCGTTACTAAAAAACGATCGCCTTAAACATTCGAAAATGAAAAGTATATTAGATATATAGTTTCAAACATGTAACATAAAATAAAATAATAACAATAAGCTATGAAGAAATGACGATTTTATTGTAAAAAATTTTTAATTTGAAAAGAAATCACAAGTTTAAATTGGCCCCAATAAAAACTAAAATTTCAAATTTAGATTAAAAATTTATAATTCATTATTTTAAAAAACCGTTATGAACCGGTTCAAAATATTTATAATAGTTCGGTTCACTTTTTTGTATTTTCTTTATTACTGTTCATTCAGGTTTCGCGGTTCCGTTCGGTTTGAAGCCCAATGTACATTTTAAATTGTTTAAAAAATTCACTCATGATTTTTGAAAAAAAATTTCCGCTTGCCCATTGTTCTACGTTTTTAATTTCCGCTAATGGTTTTTGATAAAATATCAGCCTCATTGTTTTTCAATTTTTTACCCTATTCAACCATGGTTTAAAAAAATTATCACCTAGCTTGCCATAATTTTGAAAAAAAATCTATAGCTTTATCATTTTGATAAATAATAAAAAATAAGCTTTCCACTGCCATTTCCATACTCTCATTTTGGAGAAGTTTATACTTAATGTTATTTTTATATAAAATATGCACAAATATAAAAAATTTTATATTTAATATTTACCAAATATAATACTTAGCGGAGCCTACAATTGCCCTCAAGAGCATTGTTGCTTCTTTATATTGAGTTAAATAATTAATTACCTTTTATTAAGCCCCAATGATCCCTATTGGTCATGATAGTTTATAAAAACTCATAAATTTTATCATACATTAGATAAATGCTTTCTAGCATTTTGAATTTGGTATTCTACCTGATTTCGATATTTAGGTCTAAAGTTCTAATTAAATGCTTAATACTATTAGCGATTTGGCAATTGATAAAACAAGGCTAATTTTAGGAATTTCTGCATAATGAAAATACTTTTAAAGATAATCCTAATGATAGTGTTAAGCATGTGAACAGGACAATTTAGTCTAGAATATATAATTTAAAAAAATAAAAGGAAAGTAAAGTAAATTTCTCGAAAATATAGTTATCTAATATTATGTTATGAATATGATAGATAAGCGTTTTAATCTGTTTTGTCCATCTGTCAGTAAACATTTTAAGAAATGTTATAAAAATATAATTTTTTCTATTACATATCAACATTTTTTATGTCTTTATTGTAACATTAAACATGTATGTTATACTAGAATTTTTTTTTACATTATATTTTAAACCTATATATTTTTTTAAATTTAACATAATAAAGTTTAATAAAAAAATTACTTCTTTTATTACGTTCGCTTTTTGATCCGTTGCAAAAACGAGATTAGAAAAGTACTCCCATGAAATACCAAGTTTTTCGAAAATTTATTAGCAATCCCTTTAAAATATTATCTCTCTTGAAATTGCTATATTAAAAGAAATTTCTTTTCTAATTTCCTATAATAGATCGATAGAGTTAAATAATTTGTTTACCTCTTACACCGAATATCAGTATTACATGAAAAAACTAAATCTTTAATTAATTCCCCGAGTTTCGGAAATAATTGTTCTTTTAGATTCTCGGTGATTTTTCTTACACGTTTACTTATTATTTTAGGGCAGGGGATCAATTTTATTTCCCATATTTTGCTACTATGTCAATAAAATGTAATAAATTGGCTTGGAATGGCATTTAAGTTTAAGCAAAGATTAAAGATAAAAAAAAATATAATATTGTATTAAATAAAAGCTGCTTTATCTAAAATATACTTTTTTCCTGATTGTTCAAAAAGGGAATAAAACTAAAAATATTAAATATTCATCCAGAACATTTTATTATATATATATCGTAGCTTGATTATTATAGGGTTATGCCCACTTTTGACTGAAATGGAATTATGGCCTAAATATTTTTTTTAGGGGTCCCCTTCATCTGTACTTTTAAAAAACCAGAAAAATTAACTCTAAAATATTTTTTTATCTAATATATCTCCTTATGGCCCAATATTTAATTATTATAGGATTAGGATCCTATTTATTTAACCATTCATTATTTTTATCACTTGATAATAAAAAATTGTCTTGTTAATTTTAAATATTTATAAAAGAAATTCAAACTACAATAATGAAGATTAGAAAAAGGTAGCGCATGAAAATTTTGATAATTAGAATATCTTATGAGAACTTAATCCGTAGTGAGTTTAGAAAAAATATAATGACCTTTACTACTTTTTTTAACGTAAATGAAGATTTTTTAAACATGATATCTAATTAATTCAATATTTGGACAAGGCTAATAAAACATAATATTTTTTTGTTTTATATTTTAAAATTTATTTTGTTTTGAAATATTCAAAAAATTTAATTTTGTGAATTTAGAATTTAAATTTTTTTTGGTCTCTAGTCCTACTTAGTCAGATTTAATTCTCATTTCCCCCCCCCCCCCCCATCTAATTAAGTACTCTTTTCTTTTACCTAATCTTACTTAACAATAATAAAAAGAATATTCTTATGTTTCTAATTTTTCTTAAATAAAACAAACAAAGCGCAAGAGTTTTTTTATAAAACATTAAAGGTAAATATTACAATATATACCATGCCATATGTAATTTGGACAAAAATAATTTCTAATATTTTATAAATAAAAATATATTTATAGTCAAATTAACAACCGATATAATTAATTACCTTCGTTTTTGATATATAAGAAACCAAATATTGATGTGTTAAAAAATTATACTATATTCACTAATATATTATGATACAATAAACAACTGAAATATTAAGTTGGTACATATGGTACAATAAATATGGTTTTTTTTAAATTAGAAGTTTAAACAGCATCAACGGGCTTTTTAAATATATATAATTAACTAGAAAAGGCAGATTTCCTAAAATG